AAATTCAAAGTTCCTACTTTCATACTTGGCTTACTAAAATAGTCAGAAAAACTGATATTTAGGAAAGCGATTTCTCTGTTCATATTTTTAATGTATTATAATTAATAAAGGATTGTAACTAGAATTATTTCGCTTATGCTTTTTTTTTCATTTATTAAAATGCAACTATCTATATTTAAAGAGTATTTTTATATAATAGGATCCTTTGTAATTTTAATTCTTTTAGCAATAACCTTTTTTTTAAGGAATTCTCCTATATTATTATATTATTGTAAGAATATATTAAGAAATTTGTAAAGATATATGATATATCAAACATTAATCATTTAAATTGCAATATTACTGGTTATGGCTTAGAAAAAGGGCATCCATTTAATTTTTGTAAATATTGGAATATTTATAGTTAAATCAGCACAAGATAAAAGTTTAGCATTTTACTCGTCAATTCTATCAAGAGAAATTTTGAATTATCTAATGATAAGCAGATAGTATTCGCTGTTTCTGAGATTCAATGATTGTTGCAACAGGTGATAGTACTTATATTGCAACAAGCTCTAGAAAATTTTTGGGCAATTAATTTTTGTGGAGGTTATCGTCATTCTATTTAAATAGAGGCTGTGGATATTTATATAATTTTATTTCAAATCATGATTGATATAGAGTTATGTAGTTTGAATTTATCAATGTAAAGATAAAATTTAATGTTTATTTTCGTTAATTCTTCTTCTTGATTAAAAATTATTTAAAGTTTGTAAATTTAAATTTATGATTGTCATACTCAAAATTAGAGATTAAATTAATTTAGAATCGTATAATTATTCAATCAAATCTTTATTTTAATTTCATTCATTTCAAACTACAAGTAACCTATTTTATTTCTTTTTAATAGTTTTTTTAAGTTTTATTCCTTGCATATCAAAATTCCAATATCGTTTCCGCTATCAGGATTCGATACTCTTCTTGATGAAGCATTTAAACAGCCTTCTTTGAAAAATAATCAATATGATCTAAATCTTCTAAATATCCAATAGTTTTATTGACTTTTTTTTTCAATCTGTTACAAATCCACATATTAATTTATCCATAATGCAATAACTGTTGTTAAAAAATGATTTTTTCATTCATATTTGCATTTTTATGTAC